TGTATGTATGTATGTGTGTGTGTCTGCCTGTGACCGTCTAAGAAATTATAGTAAAAATATGCCTTCTGCCTATAACCGTCTACTAAATTCTATCAAAACAAAACTACAGTTTCGGGCTCTTCTTCAGACGAGGCTCTCGACCCTTCCTCCAATCGCCCACGCCTCACACGGGGCGCGCTGCACAGCACCTCGTCCGCCTTTGGCATGGTTTGTTGAGGCTGACCGAGAGCTTTCGCCACAGTTCATGATTCGCAGGTAAGTAATGAAGTAGGGCCAGAAGGAAGGAAACTACACTTGAAGTTGCTAAAGATCGTGATGCAGGACATTCTAACCCGGCTTCTATAGGGATATTATGCCAATAGGACCTGTGAAGGAGGGCTGACTCAGAAGCCTACGTCGATCCAGGGATTCACTCCAGGTATCTTCAGACATGTGTAGTCGGTTTTCCAGGTTGCAGGCACGTAGTCTATTCGCATGGTCGGAGTCTACATGCGGTTGAAGTGGGATCCGATCAGGGTTTAGGGTGGGGTCCTCTGTAGGGCTTGGGATGAGCCGTTTAGCATCGCGACCTGGCAGCTTCCTCCGAAAGGCTACCGAGTGCGAGTGCCGAAAGCCTCAATCGCTTCGTAGCTGGAGTTGTCGGAGTGTTGGACATGTTCCGTGCCACGGTTGGCTGCTCACTGCTAACGTCAACGCAGAATGCACAGCCAGTGCTGTAGCCTTCTGTCATAGAGAGGTTTGTGGACTTTTGCTGAAAGCCAGCCCACCTACCCGAAACCTTGCTGGACGCTCCCCTGTATTGCAAGCCTCACACTTGATTGGTAAAAGCCGCCTCAGGCGAGTGCCGCATGCGCAGATGGAGGAGCCACTACGAATGCTGAGTCTAGGCTTCAAGGGTTGATGTTCATTCTTGCTAGTTTTGTTCCAAGTTATCGTTAATCATTGTTATCCAGAACTTATTTTAATGCAATGTTACTGACTACTAGTGTACTATTACGGCTCTCCTTATCATGTGCTTGTGATTGCAAAAGTGGCCTGTTCTCAGCGGACACTCAACATCCATGCACCGCTCGGGCCCGAAAGACTGAACCTGCGCACCGAGGACGACCTACAGAAAGCCAAGGAGCTCCGGGAGCAAGCCGGGCTGGGAGACATCTCGGCTTCTGCAGCTTAGTTTGATTAGAGTTTTGCGTCCATTGGCTTGGTGGCCGAAGCGCTCGGGTTCAGGGTTGCGGGATTGAAGGTCTACCCGGAACCTCCCTGTGACCTTCAATAGCGGTTTGCAGCCGTGAAAGAGTAGGTAGTGCAGGATAGATGGAGGGTCGAGCAAGCTTGGAGGACAGAAGGTGTCGATGAGGGATCATGGCCAAGGATTGGACCGAGAAGCTTGGGTTTAGGAGGTCCTATGTAAACAGTCCAAAACCGTGAGTTGCAAGTCTTTAATCATGAACGTATGTCTGTGTACGCAGCTAAATTTGGCTTATGGGGATGAATAATTCTGACCATGGCGATGATGCAATTAATGGCGATATGCCAGTGTGTCGCTGATATTATGTTTGTCATGGTGATGTTGATGACAACACTGTGATGATTGTGATGTTGACTTTTGCTGCTGGTGATGGTGACGTTGATGACACTGACTTGTTGTGATGTGCGAGGTGCTGCCACGTGCTCCCAAAGGCATGCTGACGATGTGCATGATGATGATGGTTGCGGCTTTGGGCTGCTCGTTGTGCCTCTATCCCCAGCTATTCTCGTTTTCGTGTGATATGGGCTGTCTTTGGGGGAAAACTTAGACTGGTAGTCCCGTTCGAGCTGGTCATCTTATGATGGCAGTATCAGTCAGACAAGGACGGACACCTAAGCAGACACTTAAGATTGGGATCCTTGATATAAAGACCGCCTCTACAAATAACCCCGAAAGGAAGAATCCCCATAAACGTCCCTTTAACTACAACCTATATGCCAATTCACATGTCGGCCTGCGGATCACCACCCTTTCTTTCCGCACGCTGCTATTCCAAGCTCCGCGACCAACCCAAAGCCGACTCGACTTTTTTGTCCAGGCGGTGAGGCTTACGGTGGCCAGAATAGGAACTTTGTTGCGGTTTAAGCAGTTTGTCCGGTTCGTCCCCATACATTTAGCAGGTGAGACCCCCCCCAAACAACATTCTGATCACTCTGGCTTCTGCAGTACAAGTTGTTGGCCAAGGCCAACCTAATTTAAATACTAAGCTCCCTGAACCCTTAACCGCATGAGGCTCCTTTTATCCAAGGCGCAAGCTTTGGAGCAGCTTCCCGATGTCATTATCGACGAAGGCACCTTCAAGTACGTGGCGCTGCCCAGATTGGTGCTGATCCTTTTGCCTTACTATAGAAGCCCAAGTCACTTGGAAATACTATTCGCTCATAGTCCCGAACATCGACCCCTGTTCCAACTGTTGATGCCCCCATAATGAAACACTTGGGCTTGGCTGGTCTGTGCAGAAGATGGTTTCAGACCTGTGCTCAGTGACACCTTGCATCCAAGTCCTGACCATGAACAGCCATATAGACATTTGTCCAGACAGCCAGAAACCAACATGCTGGCTGTGCTTCTCCCTCCTGCAACGCTGAAGCATCAGATCCAGAAACCATTGCCAAAAAGTGGCTAAGCCTCAATCTAGTAGGTATTTTGGCCATGTAAGCATGCAGCACATTGGTAGTCAGACCTCTTTGGGGTCAAGATTTAAACCAAGTTTCGAAGCACATCGGCGCGAGAGTAGCAGCCAGGTTCTGCTGCGCGTCACAGCAGCGAGTGGAGAGTCCTGGCCCGTGATTTGGGTATAGAGCCTCTGGGGTTTAGGATCGGGAGATGATCTTCCTGTATCATTGATTCTCTTTATTTATATATGTATGTATGTATGTATATATATATATAAGATATACAGTCTATCTATCGATCGATCTGTCTATCTATCTATCTATCGGGCACTACCTATATATCTGTTTACTTATTATACCTATCGATCCATTTATCTAACTGTCTATCCGTAAATGCATATATATATATGAACACATTACAGATGTAACTTGATTCCACGCACTCTCATCTCTTGGGTTCAAGTGCACGTACCTCATAAAGCTTGGAGCCCTGAGCCCTCACAAAGCTGAAGCGCCAAGCTCAGGAGAGAAAATATCTTGTCCGTGGCACCCTGGGTGCTGTGCATCCGGCGTTGGTTGAGTTTGCTGCGATTGACAGACTCAGCTGCACCCTGAACTACTGAGGATACTAAGACCACAAGTAACAAGGGCTGGTCGTCTTGGTCGGCGTCGTCGTCTTGGTCGTCATGCCGTCGTAGTGACTAAGCGGGCATAGTTTGAATCACAAAAGTGTTTTTGTGCACTTATGTGGCCTGGCCAGCGAAGGGATTCGTTAAGCGAGTTTATCTCGGACGAAGACTTTGGGAACACGGCGGCCAACTGCAGGGCAAGGATTGTGTTCGAAAGTGCCGATGACTTGCCCCGGCACAGAAGATGTCATAAAAAGCGCCTGAACCTTTGACCCACAATTTTGGGCCTTCAAACTTCGACTCCCGAGCCGACTTAGAGCACTTTATGATGCCAGGAGTTCCACAAAGATGTGGCACTGCCCTACCTCCGGGCGTACCTCAAGGACGGCTTCGGCGTAGAGGCCTGGGTTATCTTGGTGCTCTTGAATTTGAGTCGTGTATTTTTGGGACGGGAATACTTACTAATTGCTAACGCTGTTCCTTAGGGCACCTTTTTTATATCATTTATCATACTTGCATGACAATCTCCTCTCAAACCCTGTTCTACAGTACGCTTAACCTGTTTATTGCTGAAATCCCAGCGATTTGTTGGGTTCGATAAACGGTAGCTATGAAGAGGTTTACAGGTACAACGATTGAGGTCGCAGCCGATTCTGGTTTTGCCTGGTTAGCTTAGATAAAGACCTTACTTATGTTGCTAGCCTGAACTTCCACACAGGGACCCGTGGAGCTTTTAGCGGGTGGAGGGGCTGAGGGTTGATAACGGCTGATGAGTGTGTGTGATTGGTTAAGGCAGCGGACCCTAAACCCTAAACCCTAAACCAAAGACCGAAATGTGAAATGTGAAATGTGTGTGTGGTTCTAGGCGGGGCCGGACATAGGTCGTTTCCTTTTAGGATCCAGGGAAGATCTTCCAAATCCATCCTGAATGAAGCAATCTCGCTACACTGACCTGAATCCTGGCCCTGAGCCTTGAGAAACCCAAACCCTGCACCCTGAGCAGGAACCCGAAATCCTCTCCAAACCCCGAATCCCGAAGCCGACGCCTGCCTAAAGTTTAAAAGGACCAGGGGACCTGATACCAATTGCGACACTTATAACTCTTCTCATAGCCTACTTACTAGGTCCCCTACTTACTAGGTCCCAGACAAAGAAACGCTTGCATGACCGTTAGAGAGACCCCCTAAGCTTGCCGAGGCCCTGATAGGATATCGAAGTAGGGCTTACTGTAAAGCCCCAAATAAATCGCAAACTTGTTCCTTCACGCTCGTGATTGGAAGTAGACTATAGTATACCACAAACCACAGTCTAATTTATTAAGGCTCCTGTAGTATGCTCCAAAGTTGAACCACACCTTCAACAGATCCTGGGTGGCGGCCGAATCTTGCACGATGTACCGAGGTGCCGATTCTGCACTGGGCTGTGGGATTTTTGCAAGCCTTCGGGCTTCTGAAAGGATCTTGCGCAAGCTGGGGAAGAGCTTTGGGTCATAGGGTGGTGCGGATTGGGAGTTCAGTTTGAAGGATCGCACGAAGTGGTTTTTGGTGTGAGAGTCTGCGGAGACTGTGGTCTGTACTGTAGGATTAGCTTGAATGGTTCGAAAGACTAGGCCTGGTTCTGGGGAGTAATTACTCCAGAAGCCCGCATAGTTACATGTAGCTACCAATATTCTTCCTTCGGGTTGCTAATTGTATTTGTTTGAATTGCATTTGTTTTGGTACCCCAAGCTCCCCGTTGTGCTTATCCGGGCCCCTTTAACAAGCAGCTCATGAATCGACTGATGCGAATAACAGTTTGTGCTTCAAGGTTGTGTATGTGGGAGCTCTGTCGTTGAGGGGCTGCTCTACGGATAAGTGTACCGGTTAACGGTCAAAGCTTGACTTATGATAAATCGTAAGGAATGTTGAAACAGCTCACAGGCTGAGGTTCACGAACTGTAACGTAGAGTAGCCCTCGGCTTGTTCACTCGTTCGTCTCTTCCCTCATGAGGCCCTGAGGCATTCAATCAGTTGGTCTCATCGGCGATAGCAAGAACTTGGGCTCGCGCGTCTGTTGTTTTAGAACGCATTCATTTACGGTTCGTAAAACTATAGCTCTACTTCTATCCTACTTACGTGGCCCCGCGATCCTTCAAATACACCCCTACACCGAATATTACATCCTTAAACAAGCCCTATAGTTACAGCCGTATAAAGCCCACACCCCATTCTACCCATAGCTAAAAATTTAAAACCCTAAGCCCGGGCCCTTAAACAAAAGAAACTGTGAAACCCTGAGCCCCCGCAGGGGCTTCCTGAAGATCTACGGCTTCTCCTATGGGTTTCCCTGGGCCGATGGCGCTGGGCACGAGATCTCTGCCGAGGCGTCGGGCTTTCCAGGGGGAGACGTTGGTTTAGGGTCCTTTAGGGCCTGAAGTTTATAGGGTATTGGGTTAGGGTTTGTAGGGTTTAGGGATAGGGTTTGAAGGGTTTAGGGTTAGGGTTTATAGGGTTTAGGTTGGCAGTACCCTCAGGCTCCACCTGTAGAGCTGTCTACATACATTGGTGGTAGAATGAACGGTCTTATGCTTGGTTTGGGGTTTACAGATTGACAGGTGGTTCGGCGTTTGGGGCCAGACAGAAGTGAAGTTTTGCAAGTGGGTCGAGCTCCAAACAGCCAGGTCTGCAGAGAGTTCTTTTCCGGCTACGAGGCGGGTCAGATGCACCGCATCCGCTCCAAGACGCAACGCCCCGCTGAAACAAAAACACTATTGAGTGTCAAGGATCGCCGCGAGCTTTCTTCGATCCAGAATGCACACAACCCTCTGCCCTGACCCTGAAATCGAGACACTAGGTTGCTTCAGCTCGGTAGTTTGCACAGATCTCATCTTCATGCGCCGTGCCTGTGTGAGACGGCCCCACTACCTGCTACACTTTGAGACATCCTCCAGCTGCACACAGCACTGTGCTCGAGCCTTAGAGCCTTAAAGCCCGGAGAGGCCTAGAGCCCTCAATTGAGAAGTACAAGTGTAACCTCCATCACGTGGAGGCTCCTTCTATCGTTCAAGATCTATGCCTGAATTAAGGGCTTCATTCTTTTGTTTTATGGGCACCCTAAGAGCCTGCATACGGTACAGGTGGACTGGACGAATGACGGCTACTGAGCCCTCGGGCCCTGAAGGGGCTCTCAAAGCAGAGCCTTTGTCCCTGCCTTCTCCATAGAAGTTCTCTCAAGCCGTCGCAGTGTGAGTATTGCCTGACAAGCATGTTCCGACCGAACATGCCCCAGGTTTCTGGACTCACAGATGTCGCTCGACCCCAGTCTATCTTCAAGGCCGATAAGGTAGTGAATCCACCCAAAGGGTCGATATATTATTCACTGCAGCCCATGGCGGGGAGACCCGTCTCCACTTCAGGGGCCGAACTCCCAAAAGCCCGACCCTAAACCCCGAAATGAAGGCTCCTGCGCTTGCCCCAAATTCTCCCCGCGAAAACCCAAAAAATCCTCCCCACGAACGCCCAACCGACAGGTCCTCCGTGTTCGCACGAACACAATCGAGCGTGAGAGTCGAAACCCCGAAATGAGGCCAAAACCGCAAACTGGAGGGATCTTAAGGGGTCTACGTAGGGTTTAGGGTCCACCTATAGTGAGGCCAAAACCGCAAGCTTAAAGGGTTGTCCACCGATCTAAAGGCTGGTAAAGGAAAGCCGTACGCACTTCGGAAGAAGTCTCACGTTGGGATCGAGATCCCCCAAAGTACTTAAAAATGATGGCGCATCACCTACAGAGGCCTGTTATTCTACATGCTCTTCGCATCTCGGATCCAGGTACACTCTAAACCCACGGATGTCTCATGAGACTTCTAGATTGCCCCTCCTTTTTTTCAATTTGAAGCCCAATACCCCCAAACTCACAAACCCTAAGCCGACTAGTGTATAGGGTTCTCAACAAATAGAATAGGGTTCGGGGGTATACTATATGCACCCAGAATCCAAGAATGTCGCCCGGCATGTCCGTGTGAGAGTCTGTGTGACGGCCGAAACCGCAACAGAGCTGGGTCGACCTCGGCAGTGCAATATTGCAGATGCAAAACCAACTTCGACAGAGTGTGTTGGGGAGTTCCGATTCTGGGTTATCCAGGCACGAGTACAAGGTTTTCGGTCGAGAGCCTTGAGTTCCTGAGTTGGAGGATTCTGATGTACATTTGAGGTCCAGGACCTTCTTAGGTTTGAGGTGCATAAAGTGCTCGGGGGTTGGGGTCCTGGGAATTTAAGTTGTGCCGTTGTGCTTGTGGTTCGGGTCTGACGGCTCTCAAGTCAGGGGTTGTTGTTGCCATGACCAATATGAGACCTAATCGTCTTATGACACCATCACCACCATCATCATCGGCAACATCAGTGTCGCAGCATATGTAGTCACTTGCCGCGCCAGCAATGCAGCCACACGTGCTCACAGTATCTGCAGATGCCGTCTTGTGACCATACCCTTCACCACTGCTTCGAGTCGTTGTCTCATTCTCGCGCCTGTCTCTTCTTAGTCATGCTAGTGGGCTTCAGCGTTATGTGCCGACTCGCAACAGTTTCCGACTTTCACCTGCGTGGAGCTCTTCATCTGCAACATGCCCTCCGCCGACCCCGGAGAGCATATAGTGTTGGGCCTTACAAACAGATCGAGTATTTTGAACACAACCTGAGCCCAGCCTGCCTTAAAAACCCCGAACCGGCCTTTTCTGTTGGTTTCGAGTTGTTATAACCTTCCTAAGCCTGAACCCCAGATCCTTAGCTTCCATCCCGGCAACACACTTGGGCATCCAACTCACCCGCACGATGACGGTTGAAACAAAACTAAACAGCTAAACGAACGTGATTCCATAGAGCCTTAGGGCTCCACATTGAATGCTACAACATAACCCGAAACCATAGTATGATTCTTAAAACTCCTGTAAGCCACTGCCCAGGCCGGTACCCGGAACTTGCTTGTGCCGACGCCCGAGCCTCATGGTTCGGGGATGTAGGCTTCAGTGTTGAAGGCTGTAGGGTTTAAGGCTTTAGGCGGTTTTTCATTGTTTAAGTTTATGGTAGTTTGAAGCTGGAGATTGCATGGGATGTAATTAGGGATCAGGCCTGAGAAAGCCCCCGTGTCCAGAGCAAAACGTTCGGCTTTGGCCCCTCCGCTGCGTTGACAGTGGACACAATGTACTACGATTGACGACTGGGCCACGAACAATCCAGGGGGAAAAGCCACGAACGTCCCCGTTCTGGTTTGACACCTCAAAATCCATAGTGGTGCTACGCACATGGACAGGTCAGCATATGTTTAGAGGCAGAGCCTCAGCAGAGGAACTAAGACAGGTGTCGGGAGGTTTCCTCGCTGACATGTCACATGCGTTGCCACGGTCGTTTCCGGTTCCTGTCTTGTTCAGTGCACGGTCTCGATGCGATGCGAGAACCGAACCCAGGCCCAGTACTGTGCATGCATACAGCCTCTCCTTTGCCCCAAAGCCTTCTAACTTATAATATAATACTCGTACCCTAAACTGCGGTCATCATAATGCCCAGAATCATGGAAGTAACCTCTATAGTACTATACAGACCAGGATGCTTTCTCTAAAGAACATATTCAGTTTTGGAGAAGCTCCCAACTTGATGTTGCAAGCGGGGTTTAGGGTTTTAGGGTTTAGGGTTTAGGGTGCAGGCATATGGCATCGCGAGCCCACGGCTTCTGAAATGAGCCATGAGCCTGAGTTGCCGTGTAGGGCTTGAGACCCGGACCAGACTGGTCGAGGTTCTCCAAGAACGACCCTCAATGATAGCTGCGTGCTTTAGTTTTTTGGACACAAACAGCGAAGCAGATGCCCGTAGAGGCACTCTGCCATGCTGCCGAGATGGAAACCGCGCCGAAAAGCTTCGCCCGCATTGGTGTTCCGGTGTTTATGGGCTCTTTGGAGACTTTGCCGAGGCTTTACAGCCCCGGACGCAAATTTTGTACCTGTACCCAAATTCAGCAAGTTTAGGATTGATAGGGCACTGAAGCCCAGCCTTCGTTTGCTTTCTTCAGGCATCTGTTTCCTTCAGCAAGTTCAGCTGCAAAGAGGATTCAAGACCCGATTCATGATGGTGCCGTACCGGAAGGCTTGTAGAACTCTCGGCAATAGGGACTCCAAATTCTGTTCAGTAAGTGTGCCCTGCTAAGGAGTCTGTGCATTTCGGAGCTAGTAGAGCTAGCAAAGCGATTTGGGATTTTTGGGATTGTATGGCCATGTTTGATAGCCTGCATGCACCGCAAAAAGGTTGATACAATTGAGGGTCCGTGATAGAGGGCATGAAGACCCGTGCTTGAAGGTTTATAGTCTATAGTGTTTATGCCAGTCTATGTCTTGGAGAAGATGCCAGCAAGTTTTAGGGTTGCGCGTCGTTGGCTTCTTTTCTTTGCTGGGTAGGGTGAGATTTTTGCAGATGGGTTCCAGGCTTTGTGAGGCATGGCGTAGTTGGGAGGTTTGGGGCTTTAGCTAACAAGAGCTTACGGCTTTCGGGAAAGTGTGCAGCCTAGAGTGCTATTGGTCGTGAGAAAGGCAGTCCCATGTAAACAACTGTGAAGGCCGTGAGCATGGGGATCAACGCTTGTGGCTCTAGCTTCGTCTCTGGGCGGAAGGTAGGTTCCAGAAACTTTAAAGGACCTCAACCCAAGATCTCTTAACTACGGTTTATAGGGTTTTTAGGGGTAACAAAGTTTAGAGTTTATAGGGTTTAGGATCTCTTAACCAGCATCGCAGAAGTTCAGCCGTATTCGCTTGTTGAAGGATTTGGGCCGTTAGGGTGTTTCAAGCAGGCCGCATTTTCAGCTCGGAGATCTCAAGACTTACGATTGAATCTGGGCTATTACCTCCGGGCGTTTAGACCCTGCAGAGAATGAATATATGGTAAATGGGACATCCTCGCAATACCGCCATGACCAACGCCGGAGATGAGGACGCTTTGGCTGCACTGTAGGGGTTCGCGGGATGACGTCCGTGCCTATGCTGGCTCATCAACTACTGTAGCCAAGAGCATTGAGGATTAGGGTGATACTGATTGGTGGAATAGGTGACCTCGTATCTTCTAAACACAGCCTTGACGTATAAACCGGTGGATTTCCCTCTGTACTGAGGCCAAACCGTGTAAACGTTCTGACCTCGACGAGTTTGTTTTTGAAGCCTTGTTTATCTCTTCGTCTTCCTGCTCCTGCCACTGCTTCGCGGAATTAGAGGGAGTTCTGACTTGACTTTGGTGTTCGGTGGGTGAAGTTCGCCATTTGCAGCCGCAGGCTCAGGAACCTGGCGCCTGGGCCCAGCAAGCGCAGAGTAGAATTCATCGGTTTGCTGCGAGAGCAACTCTTCTCGCTTTCCGCTCTGCAGCCCCTTGACGTTGCTCAAGGGACAGCAGATGCATGGCCACTGTAAAATTGGCATCACCTCGACAACGCCGCAGCAGAGCTGGGGTGGTAGTGCTGCTTCTTGGCCTCGGACTTCGGGCCGTCTGGGCGGCGGCTGGTTTCACTCACCCTGCCGTGCTCAGCGCCAGGACTGCGGGCGTGACTTGCACCAGATCTGTAGCACTACGGCAGCCCAACTGCCCTGTAATTCCGGATGTATCCTTGTCTATACCAACTCCCCTCTCCTCGCACATTTCGTCCCAAAGAAAGAGGACTTGGCATCGCAGAATTGGCACAGGCAGGGGTGCTTTGGTAGCCACGGTGGAGGAGCAGCGTCGCTCGGTTCCAAGGGGCGGGGCTGATCCTCAGCCCATAACTGCTTGGCCCATAACTGCCCCAGCATTTCTCTAAAGGTCCCACCACATAGAACAGGGCTCGACGCGAGAAGGAATGAAAGCTTCGGGTCTTGCTCGCGTATGAGACAAAGCAGGGAAATCTGGAAGTCCAGCCCCTGACGATGGCTCAGCCTTTCTGAGGCCGCGACGAGGCTTTCATGGAGCGCCTGCAAAGGCTGGCACGGGAGGCAGTGCATGCGGAATCTCTCTTAATTAATATACTGATGTTAGAGGCTACTAGAGACCTTGGAGGGTGGCCCTAATTGGGTTATTAATGGTACACGGAAGACAGCTGGCTATCACGTGTTAGGTGCAACCAGATTCGATCCGCACCTTTCCGTGATCCTTTTTCTTTACAAAACCGTGTTGTTGCGGGCATCATGCCCTAAACGGTCCCTAAGCCCTATAAACTGCCCTAAACCAAATTCGAAGATTGGAGGCGCTGACCTGGCCCTTCCTCGAGGACCACCGGCGGCTTATCTGGGCGGCCGTGCTGCAGTTCAACGCTGTGCCGACCCAGGCGTGATGTTTGCAGGGTGTGCATGCTCCAACTTCTGTGGATGATATGTCGCAATTTAGCCAGAGTTCCTTGCCATTTGCCTCTCGAGTGCGCAATACTCCATGGTCGGATACCGCATGCCTGAAGTCGAATGGAGGACTTGCCACCCTGGTTTTTCGAGCAGAAGAACTTCACCCGCCGGCACCTAGGCCGGGCTCGGAAAAAGCCGATCATTCCCCAACGAAGGTTGCTTCATGTTTCATCAAAGCTCTGCAGGCGTGGACCTTTGCAGCCTGGATGGAAAGAGGGCGATTCTTTGTCGGGTGGACAACGCCACGCTGCAGGATGTGAAGAGGTTTCTGCGGACGGCAAGATGCATGGGTGAGGCGGGGCAGATGGCAGATGGTTTAAACGTTTGAAGGGTTCCCAAATATCGGAAACGACAGATCCCACCTCATCATTGAAAATTCATCATGCTTACCCGCACTTCAGTACATGTACAGGCTCCGCAATGCACGCTCTGGACTCTCCGCGGCTGCAAGATCCCCGGCGACTCCAAGAGGTGCCTGCGCAAGTACGGCTGCCAGTGCAAGATCCTCACCAAGACGAGGCTGCGCAACCTCATGCAGGAGTCCGCCTCGGAAGCGCGTGAATCCGGCGAGGTGCCTCTTGGAGGCGGCACAGCACCGGATCCGCCCTTGCGGCCCTGCCAGGAGGCCTGCCTGGAGGCGTGCGCCAAGGGAGCCCGGGTCATCGAGATGGCCTGCGGCACCGGGAAGACGCGCGTGATCCGGGAGCTGGCGGCGAAGCAGACGGGCAAGGTGGCACGATGCACACAAGTTAGTTCGACCTAAGAAAGCGCCCCATGCAACAGGTATACATGCATTGAAAATTACTGTATGCACTCTGAAGTCTCTGTAGATGGCCTACATGACCTCTAGTCGGTACCTGCTGCTATGGGCTCATACTGCATGTGCTGTTCTGTCAAGGTCTTGGTTACGGTCCCTTCGCGGATTCTGTTGGAGCAATTCGCTCAAGAGATGCCAGGCTTCTGCAAGCTGGGCACCAAATACAACAGCAAGATTGACATGGCATCACGGCTGTTCGTCGCTGTAAGCGATTCTGTGCGGCTTCTGAAGAAGCTCGAATTCGAGGCGGCTTTTGTCGACGAAGCTCATCACCCATTGCCACCAGGAATGCCAAGCTGCGAAGATCTTTTCAAGTTTTCGGCGACACACAAGGAAGGAGTGGATTTTAGGTTTAGCTTGGGTGAAGCGATCGAGCAGGGAGTCTTATGCGAATACGACCTCACGGTGCCTGTGACCACAGAAGGCCATCCCTACGTTTGTTTAGCCAACCTGTTGCTGTCACAAGCTGGACGATTTCGACGGGTGCTCGCATACTGCAACTCCATCGCAGAAGCTAAGCGTTTCCAGCAGGTGTTGGAGATTACGGGGTTGGCAGCGTGGCACATCAACGGGCATGCCACTCGCAAAGCACGAGAGCGAGTTATGCACGAGTTTTCGGGTGATCTGAAGAAGCCCTTGCATGTACTCGTGACGGTCCAAGTGCTGGGCGAAGGCGTCAATATTCCGAATGCCGATACCTGCATGTTCGTGGAGCCACGCAGCAGCTACGTGAGCATCATCCAAGCCATCGGCCGGGTGTTGCGGCCACACTCGACCAAACCCTTGTCTCACATTGTTCTGCCCGCGATTGCGGTCCCTTCCATGCCCACGCCCAACACAGACGGAGCCATTAGTCGTGTTTTGGACGAGATCGCGAAGAGTCCCGAGTCCGATGCACGACTGTCTTCCTCTGTTGAGGGTCAGAGGCGCGCAGAGGCAGGCCACGACACGACCTTATGCCCGCAGGTGACGGCGGAGCGTGTCCATGACGACCCTCTGGAACTCCCGGTGCCTCTGGGCAGGTCGGCAGCTGGCGGTCCAGAAGAGCTTTCAAGGGATGTCGAACGTCGAAGTGAGCCTGAGCCAAACGAGCATGTTACCAATGCTCTGGGGAATTCGTCTCCCGGACTCCAGACGGATGCCCTCACCGATGGTGCTGGCGAGTGGCCGTCACTAGCTTGCGCTGAACTTGCCACCAACGGAAAGGGACGGACTGGCCAAGTTTGCAGCGAGGCCGACACAGCAACACAGACGAATTCTCAAACTGGATCGTGCAGCAAGCGAGGCAATTCTACGAATGAAAGATCTGTCAGTTTATTCGCGACTGAAGCGACGGCACAGCTGTCACATGCTAGAGTTGTGGTCGAGGACCCCATGCTGACGTCGAACCCAAGCGCAGCCCCGACACCTTTGTCGCAATACTACCAACAGGATGCACAGCTCCATCGGCTAGAAGCTGCAAGCATGCCACCAACAGCCGCTTCGAAGCTGAAGTTTAAGACGAGACCAGGCGACAGTCTTGTTGGGAACGGCCATGCTAACCAGCTCGACAGGTTTTTGGAGGCAATAGCTCGGGCGGACAGGCGATTTGCTGATGCAGACCTTAAGCATTTGAAGTCTCGTCTCTGGGTGATGGACTGCAGGCTGCAACAACCCCTGTTACAGAAGCTGCTAGTCAGCAACGTGCAGTATCAGTTGGCCCTGATCCTGCAGCAGTGCGATGCATGGGATCTGAATCTGCGAGCCGTCGAACAACATGCGCGAAACCGCGGCAGGCTGCCACGGCAGCGAAGCGCTGACCCGGAGGAGATGCGCTTGGGTAGTTGGCTGCAGCAGGTTGGCATCGCGCTGGGAAGGCAAAAGCTTGCGGCGACCAGGGTGCAGAAGCTTTCCAATTCTTCATGCATCAGTTTGAGATTCCGCTTGGCGAAGTGGCTGGAGGCGGAGAGTCCTTTCGAGCGATGCGTGAAGATGGTGCGGCAGTTTGTTCAGCTTCATGGCAGGATGCCAACAAACCTCAAAACGAGTTCCAGACAAGAGAGCAGTTTGCTTTGGAACCTGCGAGGTTTTGTTGCACACATAAACAAACAACGTGAACAGCGCCTTCAGTATCTGGAAAATCAGGGGCCCATTATCGCTCAGTGGGCGAGGTCAATGCGAGCACGACAGCTCAGTCTCTCCGCAACCCTATGGAATCGACAGTTTGGCCGCCTGATTGAGTTCCTAGAGACGAAGAATAAGGTGCCAACACCAGGAGCGGGCCCTGGCCGGGAGCATGCTTTATACTGTTGGTTGTTGAAACAGCGATCATACCTGCATCAGCTCCCGTCGGAGTTCCGGGAAAAGTTGCTCGACTGCCACCAGGCAGTCGCATGTTTCCTGCAGGCCGAGGGAGGTCGCCGAGCCTCAAAAGACCTTTGATCTAGCGCCCCCGGACCACATGTAGTGACAATGCAGATGTTTGTAGTGTGTCCAATCTCGGGCCCAGAAGTGCTTCTGACTGCACGAATCATGTGCAACCTGTCCCTGCATCTCGACGCTTCTAGTAAGTAGTGAGCGAATTGACACGCTGTGAGGCCGACCCATGCGAAATGATTTTGCTTTCTGTGCGGGCAGTCTGGAAACAAAAAAGCTCGCAGCAGCGATTGCAGCTGCCGTGATTTTCATCCTTCACTTCTGATAGTATCAGATATGATACAACTAACTGTGGCAACTGTGGTGTGTCGGCTTATCCATGGTGGTCCTTCAGCGTGGGATGCGGGGGTGTTTTCTGGTCAAAATCCTGCATGGAGTGCATCAGGTAACGTAGAACAAGTAATGTCAATAATCAGCTGTTTAGGTCATAAGCATTCATAAGCATAATGCACTGCGAACAAACACGGACACCAAGGACGTTGTATCCCAGGCCTTCTTGGACATGGCGGCTTCCTTGACAGCGGACTGTTTGCTGCAAAAGTAGACTGTGCCGTGGGTGTTCAGAAGTTTTAGATTGCAGGAGATTGGGGCGCAGGATTGACGTGTTTTCGGGCTTGCCGCTAATGGGCTGAATGTTCAAAATGCTTGTGTCCTTTCCAGGATGCCGAAGACGAGCTGAGGAGTGCAAGGCTCAGAAGGTTGCACTCTAGCAACCTAGACCATGACAAGTAGCTTCGCTTTGTTAGTGGTGTTAGCTATGTGAGAATGACAACGGCACGAAAAGAAACAACAGTCCTGACAGTGCCCTGAAGTTTTCAGAGTTGTTTGCTTCTGCTTTAGGGGCTGAGGGCTCACAGGATACTTAGCCGATACAACAGAGAGGTACATGTACATGTACACACACACATATAATATATATATATATACATATATGTGGCAAGGACCTTTATGTT